GACTACTCAGCCATAAGGAAGGATAAATTTCAGTCATTTGTAGGAAAATGAATGCACCTTGAGACTATAATCTTAAGTGAAATCAATCAGGCACACATGATTAAATATCTCATTGTTTTTGTTTTTGTTTTTGTATTTTTCCTTTTTGAGACAGGGACTCACTATGCAGTTCAGGCTGGCCTCACATTCACTTTGTAGCCCAGGCTGGCCTCAAACTCGCAGCCGTCCTCCTGCCTCAGCCTCCTGAGTGCTGGGATTACAGGCATGCTCCACCTTGCCTGTTACACATGGTTTTTCTTATATGTAAAACCCAAAGTATAAATAATCCAAAGAGTAAAATACATGATAGATTACAGGAAACAAGGAGATGGACCTGTTGCAAATGGGAAGGTGATTCATTGTTGGAGGGAGGAGGGGCAGGGGAGGGGAAGGGGATGTAAAAAGGGTTGAGATGTTATACTGTCAGGTGCCGGCTCTCCAAGAGGAATGTATTTATTATGTATCACACACGTACTACTAAAAAATAAACACTATCCCTTTGGGGTAGGAATTAGGATTTGCACAACTCAACTTTTTCATTTATTAATATATTTGTCCTTTTCTTTTTTCATTTTCTGAACCAAAGAGATTGACAGACACTTTAATTCCTGAAGAATTTCATATTGTGTCAAGTACAGGAGTTTCAGGTTTGGAGTGCTACGATGAGTGAGTATATGACGTGTGTTGAGTACCTGATATGCTGAGCTGTTTTCTCCTTCCTGCACAGAAAAGCCTGAGACCAGCACACTTATATCCTAGTGTGATGAGGAAATGTGGGCTGCCCTAATATAAGTGAAGAGAGGGCCGGGGATATCGCTCAGTGGTACAAGTGCCTGCCTGGCAAGCACAAGGTCCTGAGTTCAATTCCTGGCACCAAAAAAAAAAAAAAAAAAAAAAAAGAAGAGAGACTTTTAAAAAGTCCCCTTCATGAGCACTTCACAGTTTGGGATTTTAGTGATTAAATGATTATATTGTTCCCTAGTTCTTTCTGCCATTAAAAAATGGAATTTTGTCCCCGGTGCTTGCCATGCAGACAAAGGAAAGACGCTGTCTGAGTCGGAACCTCGGACTACAGACTTGTCATCTCATTTGCTTTGATTCCCTACTTACGGGATTGAAAATGAGATCTTGGTTTTATTTTCTGAGACAACATTTGAATGTTTTACAGTTTAAAAAAGTAGAACTCTGTTTTTTGGTTGTTTCTTCTTGTTGAGACAGGATCTTGCTATGTAGTTTAGGTTGGCCTTGAACTCACCAAATGGCCTTGAACTTGTGGTGATTCTCTTGCTTCAGCCTCCTGAGCATTGAGAATTCAGGCATGTGCCACCATACCCAGCTATAAAACAACTAGAACTTTGGTCTAAGGTTTTATAATAAAGCATCTAGGAGCTGTCACTCCTTGGGTGTTATGTAATATGTATGTTATATGGCATTTCCTTTTTTTTTTTTTTTTGGTACTGGGAATTGAATTCAGGATCATGTGCTTGCCAGGCAGACGCTTATGCCGCTGAGCTATATCCCTAGCCTATGGCATTTCCTTAACAACTGGCCAAACATGACTAAATGGAACTCACTTTTGGGGGGTAACTTTTTAATTTCATTTAATTCCAAATTCATGAGAAAGTTGTAAAGATAAGACAAGCAACTCCCTTATGCCTTCTTTCCTGATTCACTGAGTGTTTATTATATGTGACCTAATTTGCTTTTACACACACACACACACACACACACACACACTCACACATGAATTTAAAATTAAGAGTAAATTTGAGGCTTCATATCCCTGTACCACCAGATAATTCAGTGTATATTTCCTGGTAACCCATTAATTATAGATCTTTGCAATGACTTTTTAAAGCTACATCATTCTGTATGTATTAGTTGGCAGTTTACTTTCTAGACTCAGAGATTTCTGTTATATTTGATGGTTTATTTTTTAGTAGCTCTTGAACTATATGGCATTTTTTAATGTCATCTTTATTTAGAAATTTTAAAAATTATTATATATTTGTAACATAGAATAGTGATGTTTGTTTTGGGGAATTGGTACGTGTGTATAACAGGTTGATTTTCAGTCCCTTTCCTCCCTTGTTCTCTGTCCCATTCCTCATTTCCAAGAGTCTACCTTCTAGTTTCCTATCATCTCTCCTTTATTACTTTGTTTGTTTGTTTGTTTTAGAGATAGGGTTTCACCGTGTAGCCCAGGCTGACCTCAAATTCATGGCAGTCTTCCTGCTGGGAGCAGTCTTCCATATGCTGAGACTACAGGCATGCACCACCATACCCAGCCTTAGTTTGTGTATTTATATTTTAGGTTTCTCATATAAAAGAAAACATGTAGTATTTAACTTTCTGCATCTGGCTAATTTCTCTTAAGATGATGGTCTCAAATTCCATCTATTTTCTGCAAATGACCTGGTTTCATCTTTTTTTGTGGCCAAATAATATTCCATTGTGTGTGTATA